GGGGGGGGGGGGGAACCGTGACAGGCAAGCAGCAAGCAAGCAAAAGCCCTTTCAGCCCTTTCCCCAAAGCAGCAGCAGCAGCAGCAGCAACAGCTGCCTCTGGTGAGGGTCAAGCTGCCGCCAGGCTCCTTCCCGATGCAGCCTCTTTTCTCTTCAGAAGGGGCTCTGATCTTTGTCCCTGCAAGCTTCTGGAGGGGCCTGGAGTCTGCCATCTGGCAGGACTCACCCAGAAGCCCATCCTGGCAGGCTGGCACTTCCAACCAGCCCAAGACCACCCAGCTCCGCTGCTTCACTCCCATGCAATGTTCCAGCCCCCTCCCCCCTCCCCCCAGTGGGACAGGGCCCTTGGCCTTAAGGTCCAGCTGCTCTGGCCCCAGCCGAGTCTAAAACAAGCCCCTTGGCGGCACCTGTGAGCCCCCCACGGGCAGTCTGGCCCCCCACGCTTCCCACACGGAAGGAAGGAGGGAGAGGGAGGGAGAGGGGGGGGAGAGAGAAAGAGAAAGAGAAAGAGAGAGAGAAAGAGGGAGAGAGAATCCCAAGCCCGGAAAAAGGCTCCCTCCGGACCCCCAGGCGTCCCGCCAGTCCTGCTCTCCAGAACCAACAAAGCTCAAGCGGGTGGGCATTACCTGGCTGGAGGGGCCGGGGGCGACCGCCAGGCAGTGCAGGAAGGGTTGTAGGCAAGCCAAGGAGGTCAGGAGGGGCGGCCATCGCCAGGCCTCCTGGCCCCCAGGAAGATCCTCCTCCGCAGAGCCCTTCCTGGCCCAGAATCTCGGTTTGGGTCTTGCCGAACCCTGGCCGGGCCCTGGGGTGCCACTCCGGCCGGCCCGCGAGGGGAGCAGAGAGCTGTTTCCAAAGATGTAGTTCATCCCTGCACCAGTGCGGCAGGTGGCTGCGAGGAGAGCCCGGCTGGCTCCCTGCCGCCCACCCAGTGGGGAGGGAGGGAGGGAGCAGCAGCAGCAGCAGCCGGAGCACAGGCGGAGTGACGGCTGCAGCATCACTGAGCAGAGGCAGGCAGGAAGCCAGCCAGCTCATTGGTCCTGGCAGCTCCTTCCCGGGCAGTCTGCACACGACTCCCCAGGGCCCCCCAAGAGCTGTCTGCTGCTCCTGTCCCCCCCTCAGGATCTCCTGCTGCTGCTGCTGCAAGCACTGAGCAGGAGATCCACGGAGGGAAGGCGGCCTACTTGCAGGTGACCAAAGGGCTGCCCCTTCCAAGCCCTCCCCCCCTCCACAAGTCCCTCTGGGGATGCCTGGAAAGCAGGGAACTGCCATCCCAGGGAGGGCCTTGCAGCTGCTTCCAGCCGGTCTTGGAAAACAGCCGGAAAGACGCTGCTGCTGCTGCTGCTGCCCAGGGGCTGCCTGGGTGTTGGCAGAGCAGCTTTCAGAGCTGCCTCCCCTTCCTCCTCCTCCTCCTCCTGCCGGACCCCTCCTGATCTTCTGAAGCCCCTTCTCTTTCCCACCATCTTCCCTAGTGAGCAGAGTTCTTGGACACACAAGGTCTCATCACTGGTGCACCAACACTGCAGCTTGAGTGTGGCTCTGATCAGAGCCTCCCACACCTGTCGCTGTAGACCCCGTTTGCCCGAGGGGAGGGGCCACCCACGGCTGCAACCCACCACTTCGGGGCAGCAAGCAGGCGAGGCCGATTAACAAAGTCAACAATGCGACTTTTAGAAATCAGGGAACAAAACGCTTTGAAAAAACAAAATAAGTACACTATGGAGAAATGAGGGGATGCTTCTGCCCCGACAGCTGGATCGGGACAGATCAAAACGCAACAGGAACACAAGAATTTCTAATACGCCAGCAGGCCTTCTGCAGGAGCTCCAGT